CGCGCCCCGCTCCGCCCCGAGCAGGACCATGAGGTGAGCGCGGCGCGGCGCGGGCCCCTGCAGCCCCGCCGGGGGGGAACGTGGGCGGAGGATCCAGCTGGTGCCCGGCGTGGGACCGGCCCCGCTCGTCCGCCAGGGCTCGGGCGGGGGAGGCCCCCGGGACGCCGCACCCTTATTGCGCGGTCGCGCCTGAATGGCGCCATCCCTGTGGACTGGCCACACGTGCAAACCGTCCCTGCAGGATTCGCGCTCCGGCCACACGGGCGATGTTGTTAAAAACGACTCTTCTGCTATAAATGGAGCCGACCCGCTGTGAAGTTAGTGCTTGGGGATGTGTGATGACTCTGGCGATGGTTTCTGTCTGGCTTTTTTTTCAAGGCATGGCAGGGCCCTGAGGGTGGCGATGTAGCCGTTTTGGTCGGCAAGGTTTTCTTAGGGTGACCTCTTTTATTGGGCCAGCTGTGCAGTTGGGTAAAGTTAGACACGGTCGAAGACTCAAACCGCCTCAGAAGTAGGACCGCCTTCCAGCCCTAATGTCTATGAAATCTGTGAAGTAGATTTTTTTAGGATAATGTCTTTTAATGGACCAGCTGGATGGTTGGGATAGAGTTAGGCTTGAAGAAAGCGAGCCCCGTCCTTCAAGCTTCTCTAACTCGTGCATCCAGCTAAGATATAATTTTCCTAAGAAATGTGCTGCTGACCTGGTTTGAGTGGCAGGCGCCAAACTTCTCCCATTTTACTGCCCCTGTGGGGGAAGCTGCAGGTGAGACTGTCAGATTGCTGTTTAGGAAAGGCAAAAGTCTCTTCTCCCTGAACAGCCCCCCAGATCATCGCTGACCCTCCCAAGTCCCTGATCTAACAGCAGGAGCAGCTCAGACTTGCAGGGGTGTCAAGGCCACATCAGATGGCCAAACCAGCGGGCACTGATTTCTTACAAACCTGCGTTGCAAGGGAGGGCTGCTCTGCCTCCGGCAGGCAGGGGTTCAGTTTTGTTGTAGACATCTCCCAGGGGCGTGGATAATACTGTATTCCTGGTCCACTGTCTTGTACAGTTGATTCCTCCCTCTCTTGTTATCTGTACTTCAGTAAAACCATTTGGTAGGCCTCAGATTTGGTAATCTTAATCCAAGGCTATAATCTCCTCCCCCACATTGCCAGTGAATTGCAAGATTCGTATTGGTCATAGCCCTCTAGTGCAGGGGTTCCCAAAGGCTTTTTCTGCCACGGCCCAGCAAACCGCTGCCTGAACGTGGCCGCGACCCGACAAACCACGGCCCAGCAGTCACAGCTGACCACGGCCAGAATTTCTGGCCAGAAGATGGGTAAGAATACTCCCACGCCCTGCGCGGGGGGGTGGACCAAATCCTGCGCTGCCACGGGCCTTGCAAAAAGAGCCGCAGCCTCTCCACTCAGCTCTGGGGGGGGGCCACTGTTTGCCAGTCCGCCGCCACTTCCCATCCGGCAGCCGACCCATCTCGGCCCAGGGATTGAGAACCCCTGCTCTAGTGGAATTTTAAGAATTTTGGGCTAGATCCAAAACTGCCATCAAGCCCTGTAGTAAGCACCTAAAGGATGTGGGCATCTTGGTTTTTGGTGCTGCAATTCCCCAGGCACCTAAGGTTCTGCTTCTGGGCATGCTCAGTAGTGACTCGGTCATCAGAGTGCCGAGGAGCTTGGCATGTAAGGCCTATTGGCATCCACAACCCAGGCAATATCATTATCATACACATAGTAACCATGCTCAGAGCATGTGTAATAGCAGCTGTCACAAAAAATGAAAGTGTTGGTGCCACTCCCCAACTTTTTCTAGTAGTTCAGTGGTTGGGACCCTCACTCTAGGTGTGGGAGACTTGAGTTTGTTCTCTCAAGAGAGTCCTGCAAGCACCAAGATGCAAGCCAAGCTGAGATGGGGGAAGGCTTACTTGCTCCTGCTGAAGCTGTTCACTTTGCATGAAATACTTGCATGTTCATTGTATGAGAGAGAAATAGAGTGAGGGAACATAACTTTGTAGCTTAGTGGTTAGGTCATTGTCTAGGTAGAGTCCAGACCACAATATCGGGAAAAGCTTACTGTAAAATCTTAAACAATAATTGAAGCAGAGCTTAGAAACAAAGTCTTCTCTTACAGAGGAGGCTGGCTGACCTCTGGGCTGCAGTGTCAGGACTTCTCTGGCCTGCTGACTGACTTTCTTCTGTGCAACATGGAACAGATTCAAGAGGAGGGGGTGAGAGCACCATACCTGACTCAAGACTAGCCTTGAGCCTTGTGGTCAGGCTACTTGTGGGAGGTAGATGTGGGTTTTTATTTGAAGAAATATCTTAGAGGCCTATCTCCAGGATATGGTTTAGGGCTGTGAATACTGAAGCCCGCTAAGAGCTTAAGATGCACTTTGCTCTCACCATTTCCTGTTTGCTACCTTTGCTGGGCTGTTGTGAATCCCATTCAGAGGCATCTGACTTTCCCTGTAAATTGTGTAAGATTTCAGCACAGGGGTCAAGCAGCTAATAGTTAGGTTTTGTGAGTGCTGTGGTGTCTATGTTAGACCATTCACCCTTCCCTCCTTCCTCATCAGGCACTCAGTCCATGGTGGTATATGTCATGCTTAAAAGTCTGTTTTGACAACTATGTTTTTTCTTCCCCCTTTGGGATTGAAATTGGTTTCATCTTCATGGGTAATTTGATTTCCTGTTTTTAAAGCTGTCCATTACTGGCTGTCTCCCTTGCATACAATCTGACTGTAATACATATTGGAGAGTAGCCCAGTGTCAGGATTAAGAGATACAGTCAGTAGAGTACTTGTGAACACGTGTATATATCTCACTCGATTTTAACCCCTGGGAAGGGAAAGAAAACCCACTTGGAACATTTTTAGTACAAAATTCCTTTAGTTACGTGTAGACTGTGTCGCCCTAAGGCAGCAGTTCTGAACCTTTTTCAGTCAACGTACCCCTTGGTCTCAGAGTGAGACTTCACGTACCCCCTTTCAATGGGAAATTAATGTTTTAGGCCCTTGGACCTGTGTTAGACAATGTATGAAATATATCTCACGTACCCCCTGATGAGGCTTCACATACCCCCTGGGGGTACATGTATCCCTGGTTCAGAACCGCTGCCCTAAGGGATCCTGGCAGAATCTGCAGTTGTTTAATAAAAATCCTGTTAAAACGTTTTCTACGTGCGTGTTTTATTTATATTGTTGAGTGGATTTCAGGGCTTTCCTTTATGCAGTTCCTGAAGTGGCAAGCTTATCATTTTGAAGTAAAAATTTGCCTTTATATTTAGTTAATTCTTGTGTGTCCTCAGTCCTCAACCCAAAGGTAATAACTAGGACCTTAACATGTGAGTAATTACCCTGCCACATGGTGTGGATACCTTATTATAATTAGTTTTGTCACTGATGAACGTCCTTTGAGATCCTCCAATGAAATATAGTATTTAATTGGAAATTATTGTCTTAATCAGCATTTAAACATGCAGAAATATTTGCTCTATTATATACCAAATACTGCACGTTATTACGTTATTAAGTAGCATATTTTATTTATTCTTTCAAGCTATGTATACTCATTACGGAAACATCCCTGAAAAAATAATGTAAGCAAGCATAATCTTTAATCTTCTGGCAGTCTTTGTGTACTTTCCAAACTATTTCTTAATCTTTAAATTGGTTCCTAAAATATCTACATGGCAGGAACATCTATAATAGCATACAAGCCAACTTTCTGGCTGGGCCCGTGAAATGGTTTTTTACCTTTATTTCTTCAGGTAGCTAATTCATGCTGCTCTACACAAGGCTGTTGAAGATTTTGTGTAGAGCTAGCTTGACTTGTTTATGTAAAACAGTGATTTTTCAACCGGACTGCCATCGCTCCCTGCGGTGCCTTGAGATCCTTTCAAGGGTGTTGCAGGATGCCCTGCAATGTAAGCCCTAATAAGTATGTAAACATGATTCACAATATAAACCCAGAGTTTTCATGTACAAATCCATAGCGTTAAAACAGTCTGACATGTTGTGACCTGAGTTTCTTTGCGACAGAAGAATTACTTTATTATTTTTTGCTAATTAAAAAAAAAGAGTGAAAACTAAGAGCTGGCACTTTCCAAGGGGTGCATCAAATCTAAAAAGGTTTAGATCTACTGATCTAAAAAATATGCACAACATAGTTATTACTCCTTCTAGCAGTGATGAGTGATTAATCAAAGAAACTACCAAAGGAGGTGGTAGATTTTCTGTTTCTCTGTCTTCAAATCAAACCTGAATTCCTTTTCGGAAGATATGCTTTAGTTAAACACAAGTTATGGGTTAAATACAAAGGTATCTGGGTGAAATTCAAAGATCTATATTATAAAGGAGGTCAGACTAGATGGTTTAAATGGCACTTCTGACCTTAAAAACGATGCATCTTTCCAGCCATCTGTTGCAAAAGCAAAGTGTACTTATGTTGAGGTCTGTGCCTAGCTACCGACTTAAAAAACTAAACAAAATGAAACAGAAAGATGCCATACCTTTGTACAACTCTAATTAGAAGGGAAGAAACAACTTCTGTACCTTGGGAAAAATAGAACTGAATATGTGCACAGTAAATGTATAGTCATACTGTAAAGGGTGTGCACGCTAAACTTTCTGATCAAGCTGTTTTAATTTTTCACAAAAGTGAGAAGAGCTTTTACATTTGTTCCAGCAAACCCAGCTTGTTAAGCAAGTAATTGCCCTCTATATTTTCTTACTCACTAAAGAGTTCATGAGATGAGCTTGGAGTATATAACTTTGCCACCACCTTTAGTTTTATGGAAAAAGAACTGAGGCTGTATATATGCAGCTTACTATTAATACTTTTCTGTTTGCCTGCATGACAAAATGAATTTTAATCACAGGAAGGGAGAATGTGCTGCTTTTTTTGCATGTTCTAGTTTTTAACAGAGAAATTACCATCCCCAATGTAACATTAAAGCTGTCTTCTGCAGCAGCTACTACATTATTCAGAGGAAGATGAAAGACACCTTGAAATGGGTTACTGAAGAACAACCTGTTGGTAGGGAATCATCTTCTAACCATGTCAGTACCTGACTTAAGCCATGAAGCATGAAAATTGCACATTTTTCTAGTTATGTTGATGATGAAGCTAGTGTTGCCACAACCGTAAGTTGGAAGCAGGAAGGCCAGAAAGTGGACAACAGGTAGAATGGTCAATATCAAAAAGACCTTGGGCTCACGAAGGAGGGCCATAAGGGCATTCATAGGTGATGTGGTTGGCTGTCTGAGCTTGAGCATCACAGTTGCAGCCAGCATTGTTGGAGAGGCCCCAAGAATGCATG